AAGTGAATAAGTGTGTGAATATGACATGTGGATTTAAAATATATAATTAGTGAGGAAAATAGTGAGAAAATGATATGAAAATGCATGAACTTAGAGGAATGCATCAGGTCGGGTACGGGAATGACCTCTAGTTTTTGTGATTTTAATTTTCCCTTTGATTAGAAGGAAAAACTAGCGTGCTAAGGCTATTTTGAAGCCACACTCGCTCGTTTCCCTTACCCAAGGGGGTTTCTCAGGCAAATGGACCCTATAACTAGCATGAAATGCAAAGGCCTAAAATGAAGGGAAAGGGAATCGGGGGCATGCAAAAAATGACAAAACTAAAAAGAATGCATGACATGTAATGAACATACAAACATGTACTAACGAGGGGAAACCCCTAAGGGTCTAGCGTTGGACTAGCCCATTCTATGAATTCCGACTAGCGTTGGACTAGTGGAAACGTACATTCGTCCATCACATTCATTCATGACCATGGAAAGCGAGTAGACATGCCAAACACTTATAAACACGTAGCACATAACATTTAGCATGCATATCTAGATGCCAAAACCTAAGAAGGCGATGAAACATATAGCACATAGACATGCAAGACACATAAGGCAACTAAGGCCCTAACTATCACATTTTTAGGGGAAGAAGGCCTATACAATCTAGGAGGGGGAACGGAATAAAAATAAAAATAATAACCTAGCTATTACAACTTGGCATTCAAGTGCCTTCAAATCACTTGCAAATTAAGAAAAATGAAATAAAAAGAAAGCGAAATAGGCAATTAAACATGAAATGAAAAGCGAATTAAAGCATGCATATTCACACATAACACATAGGAGCACGTAGAGTCAAAATCAAGTAAGAAATGAAGGATTAGGGTGTACCTCCCTTGAGTTGGGCCCAAATGGAATGGAACCACTTATTTACCCTCAAAAATAATAAAAGAGTCAAAGCATCACTTTAATCAAGAAATAATCACAAAAGATAAAAGTAAACATGAAATTGAATCAATCCAAGGCATTTAAAGGAAGGTGAACAGCCCATGTAAAATTTAAAACAAGTAGTGGCTTGATTGCAAAAACTAAAGAAATTTGAGGGGTCAATTTGATTGATTTTCCCAATTTTTTGGGTCATACTGGCATAAGGGGAAACTTGAGGGGGTTAAGAGGCAATTTTGAAACAATTTTTCCATGCAAATTCATGCAAGCTACGTGAGACTTAAACTACTGCAACTAAAATGCAACATGCTCTCTTTTGCTTCCAAGACAAAACCAAACGCACAGCTTATTGTTCAAGCTCGGATTTCAAACCCAAACACACAACTTTAATCTAGACCCAAACTTCATACTCACCACCATCCAATCAGGTAGAAAATTTAGAAATATTTCATGCCAAACTCTGGAAAATCATGCAAACATGTAAAGGGAAAAAAAAAAAACAAAACAAAACAAAAGGCTGCTGCAATCTCTTTGCGATTTCTACACCATTTCAGTCGAGATTTCATCATGCAAACGAGTTCACCAAACCCAGATTTTAACTATCAATTATCAACTAAATCAAACCCAAGATTTAAATGTACAAACAAAGTGATGAAACCGACTTGTAAGCTGTTGCCGAATGGAACATTAAACTAATGCAGCAAAAATGATGTGAGAAACGTTTCTGCAATTTTCTTATTCAGCCTTCAGCAACTAAACAAAGCCCAACACACAACTTGTTTTCCAGTTCAGATTTCAAACCCAAGCACAAGGCTTTAAACTAGGCAGCAAGCCATCATCCAAACAAATAGAAAAAAAAAAACTGAGCAAAATCCAGTGCAAACAAAAATAAAATACGTTCAGCAAGTTGAAAAATCTGGAACATATAAAACTGATTTGGCAAATTGAAATGCATTTTCCAGCAAGTGCTTAGGCATGATTCAAATACTTTTTTGACCCAAAGACATGAACTCAACACTAAACTTTCCACTTCTTCCCTTCCACACAGAATTAAGCATGCAAGCTCAGAAAACAACCATGGAAAGAAACAGTAAGAAGAAAGATGCAGCAATTTTTATTTGCGTGCAAACACTCCAACAAGCTCTACCAATATGTCATTTACAGACCAAATGCAAGGAATTTGCCCTCCATTACCATCGAATGTCCCCAAACATGAAATTTCTTATAGACGCAAGCAAAGCCAATGAACAAAACAGGAGCAATGAAGCGCAGCTTTTCTTATTTCAGACAAGACTTCCGGATATCATCTTAACAGTAATCGCATGCATGACCCTCTTAAAATATTCTAGAGTGAAATCAACAAGTGTGGAATATTTTACAGCTTGTCAAACTTTAAATGGAACAATTTGGAATCCCAAAATTCCTAAAGAAAACTGGAAAAATCTTTTCTTCTTCACTCGGCTATACTGGAAAAATTCCAGCAGTTTCATTTAACTATTTCCAGTTCAATCTCCCAGCATATCAAGAGTTTCACATCTATATAGCTTACAAGACTTAAGACACACATATTTCAGGCATTTCTAAACATCATTTCCAAAGAAAATTTCCAAAAACAAGCTGCAATTCCAGCTTCACTCCCTCGGCACAACAGAAATTTTTCCAGCACTTAGTTGGTCATAATCCAGCTTTTTTTTCGGCCAAAGCCTTGTATTTGGCACTCAAATCCAGCATGCAACTCCTTAACTAATTAATTAACGTTTCTAGTTCAAAAATCAGATTCGGACAACAGCCACATTCATCCAAAATTCCAGAAATTTGTCCAGCTCTTCTCGGCTAATCTTGCATGCAACAGAATCCATTTCATTCTTATTTTTCTGGCTTAATCCGAGCTAACTAACCTCATGCAAGACTTAATCATTTAGTTTTTTAGTTAACTAATCACATTTATGAGCTTAGATTACTTCAGAGAAACAAGATTAAGCGGCAGTTCCATTTCAGCTTCTCAGCAAACCCATTTCCTTCAAAATCAGATTTTCCCTCTTATTCAATTCATCATCCGAACGCCTAAACTTCACATGCATGGCCATAAACAATTTAATCTACCTCTGATCAAGTTATCTTAGCTCGGAAATTACCTTAAATTGAAGCTTATACACGCGACAAGAAAGCTGTCAACTTCTCCTCCTCTCGGCTCGCGCAAGGACTGCAGGTGTTGGTCCTGGTTGCGGATGGTTGCAGCTGTGGTTTTGATGGCTGGAGCTCATGAAGGTGGTGATGATCAGCAGCTCCCGCAACTGCCTTTTGCTTTCTCTCTCTCTCTCTCTCTATCTCTCTCACTTAACTTGCTCGGACAGAATATAAAGGTTGCAGCTCGCGCGGCTTCCTTTGGTCGATACTCACGAGGAGCAGCTCTCACTCACTTGCTCTCGGACGCTACAATGAAGGTGAGGTGCAGCTGTGGTTTGATATGTGAAGTGGAATGAATGAAGTGGTGCCGTGGTTATGGAGATGTTTTTTTTTATTTTATTTTTTTTTCACCTTAATTATTTAACAAAAATAATAGTAAAACTAAATAATAATAAAAACAACAATTTTAATTACAAACACATCGAAATAAACAAACTAAAAATAACAAAATTACCATTTTCGATCTTTTCTTTCATTTTTCATCATTTCTCATCATTTTTTTTTCTTTTTTTTTTTTCAAAATAAATTAACAAAAATAAACCAAAATGCCAAAAAATTAAATTTGAACGTATTTTTGTGAACAATTTTCCTTTTTTTCTCTTTTTCCATGATTTTTCTACGTTAAAACTTAAAAATTAAAATAGAAACTAGAAACTAAAAAAACTAAAAGCAACCACGACAAATGAGAATAAAAAGTAAAAGAAATTACACCAAAAATTTGGTGTCTACAGTTTTGCCCTCTTTGTCTGAGTTTGGAAAAAAACTTGAGACAAAGAAGTAGACACCAAATACTCTACCTGCTTTATTCGGTGGCAAACGTCACGAACGGAGATAAGGACTGACCCCTTTGGCAAAACTTTTTAAATGGAATTGACTTAGACAGGAGATTTAAAGTGGGATTGACCCGAACGAAATTTAAAGACGGGACTGGCCCAAACAGGAACTTAAAGCGGGACTGACCCGAACAGGATTTTAAAAATTGGGACTGACTAGAGAAGGAAATCAATCATGGGACTGGCCCGAACAAGCTTTAATCTGCGGGGATCTGACCCGAAAATGCTGATCGTTGATCATGGGACTGACCCGAAAATGCTTTTGTCGTCGCGGGACTGACCGAAACTTTTGATCATGGGACTGACCGAATATGCTTGATCGGTGGACTGACCCGAAAATGCTTTTGATCGGGACTGACCCCTCCGAATGAACTTTGATCGGTGGGACTGCCCGAATAAGCTTTCTTCGATCGTGGGGACTGACCGCGAATAGCCTTCTTATCCGGTGGGCTGACCGAATCCTTCTGATCGTTCGGACGCTGACCCGAAAATGCTTTTGATCGCGGGACTGACCCGAAAATGCTTTTGGTCATGGGACTGACCCGAAAATCCTTTTGATCGTGGGACTGACCCCCGAACTGACCCGAAAATGCTTTTGATCGTGGGACTGACCCGAAAATGCTTTTGATCGCGGGACTGACCCGAAAATGCTTTTGGTCATGGGACTGACCCGAAAATCCTTTTGATCATGGGACTGACCCGAAAATGCTTTTGATCATGGGACTGACCCGAAAATGCTTTTGATCGCGGGACTGACCCGAAAATGCTTTTGGTCATGGGACTGACCCGAATAAGCTCTTGATCATGGGACTGACCCGAAAATGCTTTTGATCCTGGGACTGACCCGAAAATGCTTTTGGTCATGGGACTGACCCGAAAATGCTTTTGATTGCCCAGTCGACTTCGACCTATGAGCCCTTGTTCAAATTGTTGAAGAAGAATGTACCATTGTATTGGAGTGAAGAGTGCCAGCAGGCGTTTGATAAGATCAAAGACTACTTATTACACCTCTCGATCTTAGTGCCACCCAAGCCGTCGACCTTTGATTATGTACTTGTTTGTGCTCGATGAGGCTGTGGGATGTGTCTTGAGACAGCATGACGATTCTGGGAAAAGGGAGCAAGCTGTTTATTATCTTAGCAAGAAATTCACACCTTACGAGACAAAATACACATTTCTCGAAAGGAGTCGCTGTGCATTGGTTTGGGCAACTCAGAAGCTGAGGCATTACTTGCTTAGTCACACCACTTACTTTATTTCTCGTTCAGACCCTTTGAAGTATTTATTAGAGAACCAATGCCAACCGGACGCGTGGCTAAATGGCAAATGATCCTTTCTGAATTCGACATCATTTTCACCACACAAAAGGCAATCAAGGGTCAGGTTATAGCAGATCACTTGGCTAAAAATCAAGGGAGGATGATTATCAACCGCTTCACACTTATTTTCCGGATGAAGATGTCTTGTTGTTGGTAAGGCAGAGGATATGAATGAGCGATGTGCTGAGTGGAGATTGTTCTTTGATGGGGGTTCAAATTCTTTCGGAGTCGGTATCGAAGCTGTGCTAGTATCGCCTAAAGGAAAACATTATCCCGGTTCAGCTAAACTACGATTTTTCTGCACTAACAATATGGCTGAATATGAGGCTTGTATTTTTTTGACTAAAAATGGCATTGAAATGGAGATCAAGGATTTATTAGTGTTTGATGATTCCGATTTGCTCGCGCATCAAACGCTCAAAGAATGGATCACTCGGGATTCAAAGATTTTACCATATCATTGCAGTTTACTAGATTTGGCAAACAAATTTCAGAAGTTTGGAGTTCAGGCACATTCCAACGTACCAGAAATGTTTTTGCTGATGCTCTGGTTACTTTATCTTCAATGATTTCAACATCCAGACTGTGACAGCCCACCTCACCCTAAGGCGAACCAAAGGGTTCAGCGGACCGCCTGCCCAGCTCTCGCCAGGACTACGGAGTCGAATCACACAAATCCGATATTACGCGAGATAGGACCCAAAAGAAATGAACGATTGAAGACCGCCAAGCTTAAACATGGAGAAAACGCTTTCATATATACATGTCGCTAGGTTTACAATGCAAATGGAACCAGTGAAACGAAATACATTTAGGGTTTGCTGATTCTCGAGGAGCTATACAAAAGAACAAAAGATTTCCTAACTAGCTCAACTCGCTTCTCAAAATCATGATTTCCAAAAGAGGTTCCTGTAAGGAAAACAAAGAACAAGGAGGGGTGAGCTTACGCCCAATGAGGTACCAAACATGTAGCAGAAAAATCAGGTATTTCACTTATACAAACCAGATACACATGCTCGCTATAAAGTAAGACAGGTAAACACAAGAACTCAAATAGGAAGGATACAGGTGGCTCTCAGGAGCCAGCTTTCCAGCGCAGTACTTGATCCAAGCCGGTTGACTCTCCGTCAACGTATATTGAACCAACACGTCCGTAGATCCCACTTTACACCAAATTTCGTCCACCAAACACCCCTTTACCGGGCCCGGTCACCTCACAGAAACAGAAATGGTAATACTCGAGTATACCGGAATCACGGGTCTCAATACCCAAAGATCCCAAAACAGACTACCGTGGTTCTTTATCTAATCGTCCAGGCCCTTGCCGGCCCGACTCGAATAACTTAGCCACAGGATTTGAGCTCATAGGTCACAGATACAGATACAGATATCAGATACAGATACAGATTCAGATTGACACCAAAATTTGCATATGAACAGACAAGAGAACGAGTGCGATAAAGTACACCCTCGTCTCAAACAAATTAAATAGATTGCAGAGCAGAAATCAAGTTAAACAGCAATGGAGGGGAGTGGTACACTCACCGGTTCAAGTACAGATACCTCAAAAGTTTTCACTTCGGATTGGCTTTAATCGCCAAGAAACCCTAAAATAATCAAAGTAAACCAATTGAAGGTTTCACATCCAGAATCGAGTAAACAAAATGCACATGTGAGGCTCGACTACTAGTCGTATGCCTCGCCAAATAATTACTAATGCAAGGGTACAAAACATGATTTTGGGAACAAAAAGGTAACATGAAGAACTAGGTTCAACAACCCAAAAGCCCTTCATTTCTATCACAAGCCAATTCAAACTTAAAGGAACCAATCGGCCTCGAAACAATTGGACAGCACTTCCCCCAAATTTCTTACTTTTCCAGCCATCACGGCTTCATTACTTTCCTCAATCAACTCCCAAAGTCATACTCAATATACATTCATCACCACAGACGTTCAATAGGCTCAAGGTTATCCAAGTACAAAAGTTAGCTAGGAAAATGACCGAAAATAAAAGTCAAGCCCTAGAATATTCCAATAAGCACAAGAAGACTCGATTACAAGTCATAAACCGATGCCAACACGATCATAATAGGGTCCATAAGCATATATAAGCATTAGAGGAAACCAGAAAAATCCGGAAATGGAATTAGCTTTAGCCCTGAAAAAACAGTTTTGACCTCATTTTGCGGTAATGGCACCAATTTCACTATGATTATTGGATGAGGGTGGAAGACCCACCATTTTGAATCTAAAAGACAGGGCTACAACATCACAGAAGGTCACTCAACCCAGTTTTGAGTGCAAACAGGTCAAAAATGCAAGATACAACATCAAAACGTAAAACAGATTCACCAAAATGCATTCTAGCGGAAACATCACAACTCAGGCTCTCCAAGTCCAAATCAAGAAATTCCAAAACCAGATGAAAGATAAGAAACAGGGATAAATTTCATCAGAAGGCCTCAACAACCAATTCGGAAGCAATTCCAGCCAAAACAACCCATTACAGGCGCAATTCTTACATTCGGGTAAAACCAGAACAGCAATAGCAATTTCGACTTTTCTCATTCTACACTACTCCGATTGACCTGAAATTTTGTAGGCACCTCTAAAATGTCATTCCCTACAACTTTCATGTTTTAAGCCAAGGTCAATTCTGTCACGGCCCCACTTCCCCCTAAGGCGAACCAGAGGGTTCGGCGGGCCGCCTGCCCAGCTCTCGCCGGGACTCAGTCGTTCACTACAGTCCTCAATTGAATTTCAAGATATATATATCAAATATACATCAAAGGTTCCCAAACTTTACATATCAAAAGCGAAGCGTCCACGCTTCCGCAGCGCCACTCTGATCCTTGATTACAATTAGTACAGGAGGAAGTCCAAAACTAGCCTATTACACATCCAATCAATTCTAAACGTTCTAAACGTTCAATACAATCCCAAAATGAACCATTACATAAAAGGAAATCCAAATTCAATCCATACACGAGATAATTCATGAATAAACACTACAAGCCCTTCCTTCGCCTTGAGCCCTGTGGAGGGGAATAAAACATTTTGGGGTGAGCTAAAAGCTCGGCGAGTAACCAATAAAATCAGTTATCAAATCAGTTTCACAATCGTTCATTTCAATGATGTCATTTCAATATGGAGTATTTTGTATTTTCATACTATCTATAGATATATTTTTGTTGTTTTGATTGTTACTATGTGTTCGGTCTAATTTTACGACTTTTGTCATACCAAATGTGATTTGGTTGTAATCGATGAGTTGTAAGTTGCTATATTGCTCAATTGTCATTACATGTAATTTTATCCCAAAAAAAGGTTTGGTTCCAGTATTGTTCTTTTCCCTTTCTTTTCAATTAATTGGGACACAACGATATAGTGGTATCTATCTACTATATGCAGGCTACAGTGGAACAATAGGGGATGCTATACTTGGTGAGAAAGCAGCTTTGTAATACTTGCTAGGTTGTGAATACTTTGCTAAAATGGACTTTTACTTAAAAAAAATTAAAGACTGTGAATATTTGAAGATGGACCTGTCAGTTATGGTTCTACAGCATTGAAAATGATTAATTTTCTCCACTCAATTGACATTTACATTCACCCGTATTTAGAAAATTTTGTGGCAGTGTTTAGTTTGGAGCCAGCTTCAACTTGTGGTGAAAGTGTCTTTTAAACACAATTGGATGTTAATTTGCTGATGCCCTCGACAAAAAAGAGGCATACCAATTGTCTATGTAAGGCTTACTTCCATTTTCAGTGCTATAACTGCCTACTCCCTTTGAATGAGCATATCGTATTCTCCATTTTTCTTTTTTGTTTTTAGCTTCTCCCATTAGCTGCACATTCGACTGCACCATTGACTCATTTGCTGACTTGAATAATCTAGAAGAGTTCATCAGCAACTTTGAGGCAAAGGTGAGATCGATTGATTCACATACCTAACAAATGCATTTTCTTTTAGTTGTCTTGGTGTAATTAGATGGACAAGGTTGTGATGTAGGAAATGGCTGATAAGTTTGAATGGACTCCCGTAATGGACGAGCGCTTCATTGATGCTTATATTGCCTTTAAAGTGTCCAAAAAATGGAACAAGCTCGAAACCCTCGAATGGAATTATGCTTAGATAACCAACTATTTGCGTGACAACCATGGACATCAAGTAACTGAAACTCAGTGCCAATCGAGGTTTTATTGATTCCAAAAAAAATGGCAATCATTTTGCCAACTTTGCGGGCTGTCTAACAAGGCTGAGATTGGTGTTGAATGGAAAGAGGACACCCAGAATTTCACTGCTAGCGATAAGCATTGGTTAGCCTTGGAAGCAGTGAGTGTCGACCCTTGTGCTACTACATTGAATGAACAAATGCATCCCTATCCTAAATTGCTTTACAAGCACTTCTCTCTAGCACACATTTTTTAATCAAATGTATGTGCATATATAAAGGAAAAGCTTAAATGGTTAGCTAACCATGTCAAACATATGCTTTGTGCTATATTTAACATTTTGTTGGGCTGCTTTTGGTTTCCTATCAATCTGTAGATTATTTGGGATTTACCAAATCAACTAAGAAGTTGTTGTAAGCTTTTTTTTCAACATTTTTTAATTATACTAAATAGTAAACAATAAATGCTTCTATTTAAGGGTGCTGTTAATGATAATATAAGATGAATGGTAAGGCAAAAAAATTTAGCTCTAAAAAAATGTACCATGTCACATTGCATTCTAGTTAAAAAAAAACTAGATAAATAAAAAACTTAAATAAAGCACTTAAGGGGTTCTAACTTATGGAACAACTTATTTCGGGATAAACCTCGATCCTCTCCTTTGTGCATTGGGGGGGATTTCAATGTCATAACGGCCCCCACGAGAAATGAGGAGGCCAGCCCTTCGTCGTGTCTGAAGGTGTGGAGTTCCTGTCGTTTATGGAAGAGGCTGGGGTTTTTGATGCTGGTTTTTCGGGGCCGAGTTTCACATGGAGTAATAATATGAGGGGACGAGCGCGGATATGGAAATGGCTGGATAGATTACTTACCAATGAAGAGTGTCTGGGTGTAGCCTCGACAATCTTGGTTGTTTACCTGGCCAGACATCCATCGGATCACTCCCCACTAAAGATCTCGTTTGCTTCTAGGTGGGACAACAAACCGCGACCATTTCGTTTCTTAAATGTATGGACAACAAGGCCAAACTTAGTGCAGGTGATTTGACAGGCTTGGAGTATGGAAGTGCAGGGATCTCTCCTGCAGATTTTATGCTCTAAACTATTGGCGGTTCGGAGAGGTATTCAGGGGTGGAACAAGCAGTTCTTAGGCAATATCTTTGATGCAGTAAGAGAGGCGGAGGTAGGGCTACTGAGAGCTGAGGACGATGTGGCGAATGATGACTCTGAGGGGCACAGGTTGAGTTACAAAAGGCCCAGGCGGAGTTTCGACGGGCTCTAGCGGTGGAAGAACAGTACTGGCGTAAAAAAGCTAAAGTGAAATCGCTTCGTAGTGGGGACCGGAATTCCAAGTACTTCCATGCGGTGGTTAAGCAACGGCAGGTGCAAGGAATGATACATAGAGTTAAGAGAGCCGATGGAGTGTGGGTGGAGGATGATGACGGCATCGCGATAGAGGCAATTGCATATTTTTCTAACCTGTTTTCTGGAGACACAAGTTCAAATTTGGATGGGTTGCTAGGCTTGATCCCGTCAATGATTACGGGGGAAGACAATATGGTCTTAGAGAAGATTCCGACCATGGAAGAAGTTAGACGAGTGTGTTCGCAATGGTTGGGGAGAGTGCCGCGGGCCCGGATGGATTTTCGGGGAAGTTTTTCACCTTCGCTTGGGACATCATTGTTCAGGATGTTCACAAGGCTGTAGTAAGTTTCTTCTGTGGAGTGGAGTTAACTCGATTTATCACTTCTACCTCCATTGTATTGATTCCCAAGGTTCCGAATCCCCAAGATTTCTCTAAGTTAGGCCTATTAGCCTTTGCAATTTTTTCCATAAATTGATCTCCAGGATCTTGGTGGAACGGGTAGCTCCAATTTTGCCAAGAATTATCTCTTCCTAGTAGACGGGTTTTGTCAAAGGGCGGAACATTACAGAAAATTATTTACTAGCCCAGGAGCTGGTAACAGGCATTGGCAAGAAGGCACGGGGAGGCAATGTAGCGTTGAAATTGGACATGGCAAAGGAGTATGACCGGATGCCTTGGTTCCATGTTATTCATGTTTTGCGAAAGTTTGGCTTTGGAGAGAGGTTCATAGATATAGTATGGTGGCTGGTATCGAATGTCGGGTTCTCGGTCATTATCAATGGGGTGTCAAACGGGTTTTTTAAGTCAAGCAGGGGTCTAAGGCAAGGAGATCCCCTATCCCCTGTGTTGTTTGTAATTGGGGCGGAGGTGTTATCACGGGAAATTTATAACTTGGCTCGACAAGGGGGTTACGTGGGATTTCGGGTCCCAAGGGATTGCCCTACGGTGACGCACCTAGCTTTTGTAGATGATGTAATAATTTTCTCTAATGGGTCTACTGCTGCGTTAAAACGCATTATGCAAGTCTTGGGGGCGTATCAGAGGTTATCGGGGCAGTTGGTGAATGCTCACAAAAGTGGATATCTAGTTCATTCGTCGCTGCCACCAGTTCACCGAAGGGTGATTGAGAGGGTCACACATTTCTCACGACAAACTTTCCCATTCCGGTACCTAGGATTTCCTCTATATATCGGACGGTGCAAGTCATCATACCTGGGGGAAGTACGTCAGGCGCTCTTGCACAAAATAATGTCCTAGAAATCAAAGCTTCTCTCTTCGGGGGGAAAGCTAACTTTAATCAGGCATGTATTGATGTCTATTCCAGTGCACTTGATGTCCGCTGCGGTTTTGCCAGGCTCGGTGTTCAGAATGCTAGAAAAGGGGTGCGCCAACTTCCTATGGGGTGCTTCGGAAGAAGAAATGAAGTATCATTGGATTGGCTGGTATCATTTATGCTATCCGGTTGAGGAGGGTGGAGTGGGCCTTAGGCGGTTACATGACATGTATGCGGCCTTTTCTTGCAAACTTTGGTGGCAGTTTCGAGCTGGGTCATCGCTCTGGGCGAGCTTTATGCGGGCTAAGTATTGTAGGGACCTTCACTCGTGTCAGGTTCAACTGGGTAGATACGCCTCCGGTACATGGAGGAGAATGCTAAACATTAGCAAACAAGTGGAGCTGTCTGTAATCTGGTAGGTCCAGGAGGGTATCTCATGTCATTTTTGGTACCATAATTGGCTGGGGAGTAGGGCGTTGTTCTTTAAAGCTACAGCAAACCCCGCCCTCTCTTTCGAAGACTTCATTGTGAATGGGAAGTGGACCACCGATCTGCTCTCGCGAGCCCTTCCCCTTGACCTAATTCCTTCTGTCTTGCTCCACCCCGTGCCTCGGGGAGGGCGAACAGATGAGATCATATGGAGATTGACTTCCTCCGGAAAAATTCTCATTGGCATCGGCCTTCAAGGAGGTGCGCCAAGCTCGTAGCTCTTCGTTCGTACACTCCTAGATCTGGCACCGTAGTATCCCGTCGAAAATATCCTTCTTCATGCTGCGTTTGCTTCTTGGGAGGCTGCCATTTCTGGACGTCTTATGCAAGATGGGGTTTCAGATGCCTTCAAAATGTTTGTGTTGTCCTAATAGAGCAACAGAGACGACGGAGCATGTCTTTTTCGAGAGGCAGATTGCTAAGGAGGTATGGAGCTACTTTGCAAGCATGTGTGGGATCACGCATATAGGGTCATCACTGAGGGCTAGGGTAGTAGCTTGGTGGATGTCATCCCCGAGGCAAGAGAGAAGGCGACTCCTATTTACCATGATGCTTGGTTTCATTTGTTGGCACATTTGGAGGGTGAGGAACGGAGCAGTTTTTGAAGGGACTCGGATGCAGTCGGATCATATTTGCTGGGCCATTCTCTCAGATATTACATCAGGGTTGGAGATTCATTTTAATATAAAGTTGGGATGGGTCTCATGCCCTCAGCTATATGACTGGTTTAGTCAACAAGGCGGTGGCATCAGAGTTCAGCTCGTACGGTGGAGAGCGAAGGAACCGGGTTGTCTAACACTGAATACGGACGGTTGTTCCAAGGGCAATCCTGGATGGAGTGGCGGCGGAGGGGTCTTACGGGACTCTTTAGGACGGCCTATATTGGCTTTCTCGGCGTTCTTTGGGAAACGGTTGAGCTTACAAGCGGAAGCCCTCGCATTGTTAACAGGACTGCAGCTGTGTGTAGAGAAAAGGTTCGTCAATATGGAGATTCAATTGGATTCTCAGGTATTGGTTGGAATACTTCAATGACACTTCAGGTGTCCATGGCAGATCCGGAACGAGGTAGAACAAATCTAGGAGTTGGTAGTGGATGTGGTGAGATTCTCTCATTGCTTCAGAGAAACCAATCGTGTGGCAAATATTCTAGCCAATAGGGTATCTCTCATCAGCATCAGAATTGTGTCATCTATGATCACATAAGCATGTTCCCAAAGTTAGCAAGGGGAGAAATCTATGTAGATAGGTTAGGCATGTCATCTATAAGGAGGGTAAGAGGGGCAAAGGTGACAATACCGCGTGCTGGGGAAAATTTGTAGTTCTGGCTTTTTTTATTTGCTTCAATAAATAAAAAATTTACTAAAAAAAATAGTAAAAGATTAAGAAGTAAGATCACAACTATGGTAATTTTGTAATTACTTACCAACAAAATTCACTTAAAAGGTCAAAAATAGAACACCAGTCCTTTCTTCGTTTTCTTCAAATTTTTGTTTATCTAAGAAAAAAGACAAAAAATTTGTTTATCTAAATAAACCATATAAATATATGTGTATATCCAAAAGAGATTTATATCCATCTCTTTTTCAGTACTATCACTTTAAAAAAGTTTCTGGATTAGATTGTCGAATAGGAACAAAGAGGACGAGGCCATCATTGAAATATATAATTGATATGTTAATAAGATCGGTATGAAGTGGTATGGCTTACGAGATATTTTTCAATCTTGGGCTAATGCTGTTGAATTTCATCATATACCACTGTAAATTTTTTCCTAGGTATTAGTCTAGAGAGACGAAGTGACTTAAAATCTGCCCAGGCCTTTATTCAATTTGCCTTTGACTTTCAAGTGTTATGAGATTATTGTCTTGATTTGGTATAAGCAACTGTCCTGACATTGGTTTCATGTCTTGCTTAATAACCTTTATTTTACTTGTGGGTAGACCAACAAGGATTTTGCTGACAAGAGCCCTGCAACTGCGACTTGTACGAGTGGTTCACCCCTATCATGTTGCGTAAGACTGCAACAGGAATTTGAGCACAGTTAGCTAGCCATCTAGTTCCTCTGAATTGCACCCTTCTAAGCAATCCACTTCTAGGAAGAATCAAAAAGGCAAGGCCAAAGTCTCATCCTCCTTCCAGCCTCTCTCTGGGAACTATCCTTGGGAAGGAGAGGTTGTGTACTTTGTCTTGCCAATCTCAGGAGTGGTAATTGGTAAGCAGCCAGCAATTAGTTTGGGTACCTCTGGCGAGCGAAAGCGTTCTAGACGGACCAAATCGACTAGATCGTTTGGGAATGGGATCAAAGACACATTAAGCAAGATCAGCAACTTCTCTGTGGTGGCTCTCGTAGACCGATAGGCCCAAATAGACAGAGACAAGGTATACAAAGTTGAGCATTGTCTTGTCTGTGTGAGGACCCGAATTCTTCTCACTTATAATTCTATTTTTATGGCTTATTTAAATATTTATTCACCCGTTTTTCTCCAAATAATTTATTTCAACTATTTTAAATCCATTTATATGGAATAATGTCTCAATTATATTTTTAAAACGTCTCGTTAGTAAATTTAATTTTCTAGGGCTCATTTAGTGAACAAATAGCGAGTACACATTTTTCACGGCAATAATCGATTCGAGAGTACAATAATCTTGGAGAATTGAGGACTCATGTTTTATTTCTAAAATGGTTATTTCATACTTAATTACATTAGTAGTAGTTAATTATATAATCGTTATATGAATTTCCCGTAAATTTCGCATTCTTGCACGCGAATTGGAATTTCGCGTATATCGAGTTGGAATGGTTAAACGGAGACTTAAGAAGCTTATACTGGACTACTAAGAGTGAATAATTATAGTGTTAAAGAAATTACAATTGAGGTTTAGTGCACAATTGAAACAAACCCGAGAGAAAACGGAGGTACGAAACCCGCGCGCGACACTTTTGAGAGTTGACTCTTGGCACAACTTAAGGTAGCTTTTCTTCATTCTTTCTCCCCAAGTTTCACTACACAACCACTCCCTCACCACCTCTCATTCTCGGCCAGCCAAGGGTAAAAGGGGAGAGAAAAACTATGTGAGGCCCCAGACAGTTCTTAAGTTTGATATTAGGTGATATTTATTATTTGTGCAGTAATTTGGGTTTTAAGGCTAAGGAGGAAACCCTAATTTGGGTTAGTATTGAAACCCTAGTTTTGTAGTAATCACAAGTTCAAGTTGTAATTAAAGTTAGTTATGCTAGTGTGTGTGTTAGTATAGGTAAGTATAGGATTTGATCTATTTTATATAGGTTAAATAAGTTTAAGAAGGTTAGAAAGCCTAAATGAGTAAAACCTCTAGTGTTATAATTTCTTAGAACCCTAAGTTGGGTTTAAAAACCCTTAATATTTCCCATGACACCATGATTGTTGTTTAATTGCATTTGTGTATGTTAATACATGTTTAAGTATAGATGATTAATTTAGTGGGGTGATTAGTAGAGGAACTAAGTAAGATTAACTAGTTGGGACTAGATTAAGTTTACAACTTATGGAGTAATTTGATAGGAAAGTAAAGGTTTAAGGGCAAGAGTGGAATAAAGGCTAAGCTGAAGTGCAAGGGCTAAAAAGCAAATAAAGCACTCTTGTGTGATTGGTTAGCTTAATAAATATCTCTCCTAAGTGGTCTTGCACCACATATTAGTCTCAAGGGCCATAACTAAGTCATTAGTTGGACAAAACAAAACAAACCAAGAGAGTGAGAGAGAGAGAAAGCCGTGAGGGAGAAGAAGAAAAACCAAAGGAAATTTTGCAAAGTTCAACCAAATTTCTGCTATAGATCTTCATCTTGAAGCATAAAGGATCCATCTTGGAGTTGGGTTGAGTTCATTAGTCATCATACAACCTTCATCTTGAGGTGAGAAAGTTCCTATGCAAAGCTAAGTATGGTTTGTGATGCTTGAGATAGTGGAAATGATGATAATGGTTGTTAGTTGTGATTGATTATGGTGTCTCTTATGTTTATCACTTGATTTTATGGATTAATTTAGTGAAAGATGAGGCCTTGAGGTTCGGCCATATGAACCCTAATTAAGGTTTCATGCTAAACATGTTGGTTAGCCTTATCTTGTGTTATTGAACTTGTAATGGTTGTGTTTGATGATTTATTTCATTTGTTTGGTGAATGGGTGGTAGAAACTGATTTGGGTTAAGAAACCCTAGGCTAAAGTAAGAAGTATTTTCTTGGTTAGGGTGTGATACACTAATGGTTAGTTTAAGTGAATGGGTGCATATGAAGTTGGATTAGAAGGTGTAGCTAACATGAGGTTAGTTTTGTAGAATTGTATGGTGTAATTTTGGATTCTGAGAAGGGAGTTAGGAGCTGGTTTAAGGGTGTGTATTTGGTGTGTATTTGGCCAGCAAACTTGCATGTTACTCATAGAAACGGATTGTGCGGTTGCGGCGTGCAAAACTGGAAACCAGGGCAGTTCAGCATCTGAACTTTGGCTCCATTTTTCTTGATGTTACGTACGGATTCAGGGATTTCCCAAAACATGAAAGTTGTAGCCTCTTAAGTCCTGAATATGCCTGCAAAATTCAGATCAAACGGATCAGTGTAGCCCGAGCTATAGCCAAAACACTCACTCCTGTTTTGAACACTGGATTGTGTTACGTTTTGAATTTTGCTTCTGACCATGCTATGTCTGTTTCGATAACGTGCGAACTGGGTGTTGATTCCTTCATAAGAAATGTAGATCTTGGTCTTAGCTTCGAAACGGTATAAAGTGCATTCCAATCCGAGTTCCGTAGCTCCGGTTATGACCAAAACAAGATCGGTTGTCAGAACTGCCTTCGAATTTGGACAGTTCTGACAGGGATGTTTGGACCCGTTTTTCCCCATGCTCTGTAATGATTCAGCCTTTGGTCCAAACATGAAAGTTATATCATTATGAATGAGCTTTCTAACACCTCTGGAATTTCTTGATTCTGATTTCTAAGTCGTGAGTTACGGTCTTTCAAACAGGGCCTGTTTGGTAACCCGAAATGAAATGGCTGGAACTATTTTGTGCATTTTTGACCAATACCTATTGAGATCTGGGTTGAGATGTCTAAATAAAAGTTGTAGCCCTTCCTCGTAGCTTCGAAACGGTGTCTCATCCATCTCAATCCGACATTCCTATCCTAACTTTTGATCAAAACGGTTTGAGATGGCAGATGTGGCCGTTTCCATTTGCCGTTTC